CACACACACACACACACACACACACACACACACACACACACACACACACACACACACACACACACACACACACACGTTCCTTTTAGACCTAACTTATACTGCCATCTGGTGGCAATTTTAAAAATTCAAATCAATTTTACTCGGAAGTCATCCTCAAATTCCTGTTTGTTTGTTTTTGTTTTTTGTTTTGATCCTCAAATTCCTGACCAGAGATTTCTATTGGCTTTCTGTTGTTCAACTTTTTATTTTCCCTTTGTCAGTTTAATAACAAAAAAAATTATTTGAAAACTTTTAATACATGTCTGGAATCACTGTCTGGAAAAAACAAAGTAAAATGGCATGATGCACAGAAAACCAGAAATCTACTGTCTGCACAGATTATGTTGACTTCTGATTATGTTGATCGTTTTTCCCCCCTCTCACCAATATTAGAGTCTCTGGGGGTGCTCCTTCCCTGCAGGACTCTGCCTTCCTGATGGAAAAATAATACACATTAATAAATATATCCTGTTCTCTAGCTTCCCTATTCCCTGTTATTTCTCCATATCTACACATTCAAGCATATATTGTTCTCCTGGAGTGAGCATACTACTCTAGCTTAAGAAGGATCTATACTTTAGTACTTCCAAAATGAAAATGATGAAGCTAGATGTGGTGGTGCACGCCTGTAATCCCAACCCTCAGAAGGCTGAAGCAGGGGATACTGTTAGTTCAAGGCCAGCCTGGACTACATAGCAAGACTCTGTCTCAAAAAACCAAACAAGACGAACATGATGAACACTTATTAATTCAGCCCCTCAACACTTTCACTTCTTCCATCTCTATTTATTCTGTGTTAGCTTCTAACATCTCCTTTGCCATCTCCTTTGTCTCCTTTGCCATCTCCTTTTTCTCCTTTGCCAAACCAAAATAGGGTCTGCATAGGATCAAATAATTTATACTAAAAACCAACATAAATTTTAGATTTTAGTCTTAATGTTTTGTTTTCATTAAGCATTAGAAACCTTAATCTAGAAAGAGAAAGTGAATATTACTTACTGGTCCCACAGTACCAAAGCCAGGCACTCTATAAGGCAGAGATTCTACAGAGGAGGACCGACTGTAAAAGGTGAAATGAAACAAACAAAGAAAAATTGGTGTTAAATTTGGACACAGACTTAAAGTCTCTTCAGTCCCAATCTGAGCCACATCTAAATATTGCTTTCCTCTTCCATCTTTTGCCAGTGGTTTAAATGTTGCTTACAGGCTTTTTACTCACCTGACCACCTGGCTACTATGCTGGGAACTGGGTCTCGGAGTAACTGAAAATAAATAAATAAAGTGCAGGATGAAAAGTTGCTGTCAATGGCATGCTCTGCCTCGTCTAGCCAATCGGTTGTGAGTGGTTATCTGGTTATATGATGCTTCTCATTTCATACATAAGATTAGGAGTATCACATGGCTCTGAGAAAAAAGCATCTTTCATATGGGGAAAGAATATTTATTCATCTCACAGTTAGGGAAAAAACTATTCTCTACCTGACTGTGATGGAGAAGTAATGCACACTGGTCGAGGTGTAGTCAGCCTACAAAAAACAAAAAGAGAGGCAGGTCTAATCTCACTAAGCAGAGCTTAAGTGCCACTTTAGGGGACCGACTGAATCACACTGTTCATAGAAATGCTAGCACAGATTGCTTATACTCATGTATTACAGGTATCACGTGAAAATATGAAAGCAAAGTTTCCATATGAGGCCCATTTACTCCCCAACTCTCTAAGTGAAATCTCCACTTCTTACTGTCCATAGTAGTATTTTATTTTGTTTCAGTACTGGGGATTGAACTCAGACCCTGCACATTGAGCTGTATCTCCCCCAACTCTTTTTGTTTGTTTGTTTTTGAGACAAGGTCTCACTAAATTATTAAAGTTGCCTAGGCTAGGATAGAACTTGTGATCTTCCTGCCTCAGCCTCCCAGAGTCATAACAGAAGCTTTGATATATTTCCTTTTTTTGTTCCTATAGTGCTTTACCAAATATTCTCAACCTTACATCTGTCCATCCAGTCATACATCCCTTTATCTCTAATTTATTCATTCAACCAACACTTATATAGTATCTATATGACCTACATCCTGATATTACAAAGATAATTAGAATAATGTTCTTCTCTTTCAGAGGCTCACAGGGTAGTGAGAAATACAAAAAATAATCACAGACTGGGTATATGGCTCAGTGGTAGAGCACTTATCTGGTATATATGAGGCCCTGGGTTCAACCCCCAGAACCACAAAGAAAACTACACTAGCATTTAATAATGGATGTATCAGAAGTATAGAAATATGAAAGAACATGAGGCAGTAACTTATGTGAATGCAGAGATGTCATGCTTTTTAATCCACCAATACAGGGCTGATAGTATAAGTATTTCACAGTTGGTAGGACACAGCACCAATTTGAAAAAACTGGTACTATATATTCAACATGTAACATACTTCCTGATAAATAGTAGGCACTAAATATTTATTGAATGAGTGAACAGAACATCTAACTCCACCTAATGCAGTCTTTCTAGAGAAAATGATGGGCATTGAATTTTTAAAATAATTTTATTTTTTTA